CCTTCTGGCGCACATTGCAGGAGCCAAGGGGTTAAACCGGCATCCGGGGTGGGAGCGAGGGGGGTGTTCACATTAGCTTCAGCCCCCCCAAACCAACACTTGTCCCAGTTCTACGGAGTGTACGAATCCCTTCCGGTCCCATGCCATTGTATGGTGTTGCATTGTACAGCGGGGCAGCTGCTGCGTTCCACCCCAGAAGTGGCTGCGCGTGGATGGGAAGTTGTCTATAGCGTTCCCATAGGGAGTAACTCTCCGAGTAGGTCTTTGGGAGCCCTCCGGATGGACGGGAGAGCGGAGGAGAGTCAGCAGTTCTGGCGGTGCCAGGGTGGGGGGGGAGGTGGTTTGGCTGATCAGGAATCAGGTGCCCTGAGGACTTGTGCAACAATGCGTGGGCCCCAGTGTTCTGCGCCCCTGGATATAGGGAGCTTCACAGGCAAATGGAGCTGAAGAGCCCCTAGTGGAGCTGGGGGAGGGGCAGTCTTCACAGGAGACCCCCTGCTCCGGTTTGCAATCAGATCATGTGTGCAGGAGAACAGAACATAAGAACGGCCAGACAGGGTCAGACCAACAGTCTACCCAGCCCAGCATCCTGTCTACCGACAGTGGCCAATACCAGCTGCCCCAGAGGGAGGGAACACAACAGGGAATCCTCATGTGATCCCTCCCCTGACATCCACCTCCAGACAAAAGGAGACTCGGGACACCATTCCTACCCATTGATGGACCCAACCTCCATGAATCTATCTTGTTCTTTTTTGAACTCTGTTAAAGTTCTAGCTTTCACAGCATCCTCTGGCAAGGAGTTCCACAGGTTGACACTGCGCTGAGTGAAGAAAAACTTCATTTTGTTTGTTTTAAATCTGCTGCCTATTAATTTCATTTGGTGACCCCTCTTGTATTGTGGGAATAAGTAAATAACTTTTCCTTATTCACTTTTTCCACTCCAGTCATGATCTGATAGACCTCTGTCATATCCCCCCTTAGTCTCCTCTTTTCTAAGCTGAAAAGTCCCAGTCTCTTTAATCTCTCGTCATATGGGACCCGTTCCAAACCCCTCCTCATTTTTGTTGCCCTTTTCTGAACCTTTTCCAATGCCAACAGATCTTTTTTGAGATGAGGTGACCACATCTGTACGCAGTATTCAAAATGTGGCCAGTACCATGGTTTTATAGAGAGGCAATAAGATATTCCCTGTTTTATTCTCTATCCATTTTTTAATGATTCCTAATATCCTATTTGCTTTTCTGAAGGCCGCTGCACACGGAGCGGATGTTTTCAGAGATCTATCCGCAATGACTCCAAGATCTCTCTTGAGTAGTTGTGGCTACATCAGTCCCCATCATATTGTCTGCATAGCTGGGATTATGTTTTCCAGTGCGCACTTTACATTTATCCACATTAAATGTCATTTGCCACTTTGTTGCCCAGTCGCTTAGTTTGGCGAGAACTTTTTGAAACTCTTCACAGTCTGTTTTGGTCTTAAATATCTTGAGTCGTTTGGTACCTTAAGCAGGAGGGCAGATGAGCAGCTCTCCTTGCTGGGAGGAGAACAGTCAGGCTGACGTGACTGGGTGGGTTGCACCAGCTAGGGCCTTGTCATTAGCAGTATGGCTTTGGGGGGGTGGTTCATAACTCCCTTTCAGCAGCATCCATATGGTTGGTAGGTTTAGTCCTGGGTTCTCTCTTCTGTGCTGCCTCTGGCTTGCTGGGTGACCTTGGCAAGTCACCTCCTTGCTCCGTGCCTCAGTTTCCCCCTCTAAATCAGGATAACACCTTGCCGGGAAGGACCTTGAGGATGAATGTGTACAAGGCGCTTCACACTGACCCCCTTTTACTCTGCCAGCAGCATCCATATGGTTGGTAGGTTTAGTCCTGGGTTCTCTCTTCTGTGCTGCCTCTGGCTTGCTGGGTGACCTTGGCAAGTCACCTCCTTGCTCCGTGCCTCAGTTTCCCCCTCTAAATCAGGATAACACCTTGCCGGGAAGGACCTTGAGGATGAATGTGTACAAGGCGCTTCACACTGACCCCCTTTTACTCTGCCATGGCCGTGTTGTATAATCAAATCTGACGAGCCGAGTCTCGGTGTGCTCTCGGATCTAGACTCGGTTCGGCTTCAGCCCGGATCTTGTTTTTATGTGTGTCCTTCTCTCCTCCTCCCGGCCCCCGAACAGGTTTGCCAGGCTCTTCCCAGCCTGCTGGAAATCAAGAGCCATGTGCGAGCCTCTCTGAGCACGCTCAGCCCTGTGCACAAGAGGCTCCAGGAACCAGAGCCTTACCAGGTACGTGAGCCAACTTACAGTGCAGGGGCCAGCTCCAGTGGGAAGGGCCTCTTGAGCCAAGCGCGTCCACGTCAACCTGGAATTGCTCCTTGCACAGCCAGTCCCGAGCTGTACTTGGATGGGAGTCTTCCAAGGAGCACCCCGGCGCTCCAGGCAGTGCTCTCCTTTCTGACACGTGTCGTACAATGCTTTCCGGGGAGTGAGGTGGGTGAGTTCGGGGTGTTCTCCCTTTGTTGTAATGCCCCAGTGCTGCACTAGGGGGCGCTGTGCTGCAGGGAGGGATATGACACTATCCCCTCTCAATGCTATAGCGCAGCAGTAGGGGGCGCTGCACCTCGGAGGGCGGCATCTTTCAGAGGGGCTCTGAAACTGAGGTCCCAGGAACCTGTGATCCTCAAAGACGCCCTGACTTTTTTTTATCTTGGAATCCTGGCTGCAGTCTCCATCCTGCCTCCTTAAACGCCTCTGCAGATTCGGCTCCTGCAGGATTTCTTTTTGGTTCCTGCAGGGGTGTTCCGAGGAGGGAGAAAACTTGTTCTCCTTGGCCTCTGAGGACAGGACAAGAAGCAATGGGCTTAAACTGCAGCAAGGGAGGTTGAGGTCGGACATTAGGAAAAACTTCCTGCCTGTCAGGGTGGTGAAACGTGAGTCAATTGCCTAGGGAGGTTGTGGAATCCCCATCTCTGGAGATATGTAAGAGCAAGTTGAATAGACATCTATCAGGGATGGTCTAGGCAATGCTTGGTCCTGCGGTGAGGGCAGGGGACTGGACTTGATGGCCTCTTGGGATCCCTTCCAGTTCTATGATTCTTCTGCCTCTAGTGCGACTCAGCATTACAGGCTGTTAAACGGCTTCCCGTTCCGCTGCAGAGGTGGCTGCATCTAGCTGGTGGGTGAGGTGTTTCCTGGCTAGAGTGTCTGACGTGCCTTGTGAGGAGAGCGGCTGTAGAGACGCATGTTCGGGTTAGATACCTGATCTTCTCTGCCTATCCTTGGGATCTCTGGCCAGCCCGGGCCCTGCATCCCATGCCCACTAGGTTCTGCCCCTCGTGTGCGGCGTGGGGACAATCAAACAACAAGGGCTGTGTCTGACATCAGACACACTGACCGGTTTCCTCTCCTCTGTCCAGGTTGCTGTGACTGAGAAACTGCACTTTCTCCTCAACGACCTGCGCCGATCCAGCCAGTGAGCTGCCCGGCATCCTCCTGTCCAGCAGCAAACTGCCCCCGGGCACGGCCCAAGAGCCCGCTGCTGCACAGACACCTGGCCACTCGGGTGTTTTTATGCAACTGTCGAATATTTTCTCCAATGATGGTTTTGCTGCGCAGGGCAGTAGCGGCCAGGTAGCCCAGCTCCATCGCCTGTGGCAAAATGAATCCCCAGCCAGGGCCTGTGCAGAGGGGAGGCAGGTTTTTCGGATCCAATTTGAAATGGGTGCGGCGGAGGACCAGCAAGGCCATGCCTAGTTTGACTCCTAATCAGGTGCCGGAATCTGCAGCTCTCCACTGGGGCTGTTTGTCCGTCTGTGTTTGGGAAAGTCCTAGCTCCTTACATTGACCCGCTCATATTTTTCCATCAAAATGGCACTTCTCTCAATATGGAGCAGAAAAATCCCATTTTCGGTTATGCACGTGTTACGATGAAGAAGAAGAATATTGCAAGAGTTCAAGTATTAAGGAACAGGAAACCCATTTGACAGAGCTGCGTCAGGCAGATTGCTTGTATCTGATGTCAAGACAGGATTAGACCCTTATCCTCACCCTTCTGTTCCAGGCTTACAACAAACTTCATGAAGTAAGTAAAAGAATGTGACGATTGTTCTCTTTGAAATTGTAGCTCCCACCTGATAGGGGTTTGCCCGGTTCCTCCCTACAACCTCGTGGTCCGGTGAAGGCCTTCATGCTTAACTCTTAACACGCATGTTCCTCATTCACAGACAATAGCAGGGTGGTGAAGCACTGGAATGGGTTACCTAGGGAAGTAGTGGAGTCTCCATCGCTAGAGGTGTTTAAGTCTCGGCTTGACAAAGCCCTGGCTGGGTTGATTTAGTCGGGATTGGTCCTGCCTAGAGCAGGGGGCTGGACTTGATGACCTTCTGAGGTCTCTTCCAGCTCTATGGTTCTATGATTCTATGATTTCTTTGTGACAGAGGAGCAACATGCACAGTCGAACAAGAACGTTGTTACAGTTCCAAGGACAATCATTGTATCCTTTTCCTTAGTTCATGTTTGTTGTAAGCTGAAAACAGAATGGTGACTACAGAGCCGTCACTGCTACAGGAAAATAGCTGGGGTCTATTTTAGGCTTGCACATCACCAACACAGTTGTTTAAGAAACACCTGATTCGTCCGAAGTGGAAACACGCTCTCGCGTCTGTGCCAGGTTGAGGAGGAAATTCTCTGCTTCGAGGCTAGGGCTCTTCATTCCCTTTAGCGTAGAGCTAACATGTAGGATCATGGTAATCGCATTGGCTCAAGACTTGTTCTGTATCCTTGTAACATGATGCGACTCGTCAGCACGGCGCCTCCTGCTGGGCACTCTGGGAATGAGCTCTGCTCCGTACCAGAGCGCCTGCGTCTGGCTGTCATATGCCTGCTGGTGCCTGTTGTTCTCCTCCACCTTGTGCTAGGATCCGTGTCCCTCCCAGCCCGCGGAACCCTTTCCTCCATGCACCGTGCCCACTCTCTGGGGTCCCCCCCTCAGGGAACCCCCAAACCCACCTTGCCTCAGTGACCCTACAGCCAGGCGTCACCTAGCCCCTTATCCAAGGGGCCCACTGCAGTCTAACATGGCAACTGGTCATAGGCAAGGGGATGGGGACCTGGTGCCTTTGCCTGCCCTAGTGTCCCAGGCCTTTGTTGCTGGGCCTCAGTTTGGGTCAACTCAGCCTGCAGCTCCCCAGGCTCATGCTGCCTTTCCCTGGCACTGCATTGCCCATGGTACCATGGCTAGCAGCAGCTGGGTCCTTCTTCCTGCAGGGCTGGAGTGAAAGAGTATGGAGTCTGGCCAGCCATCTCTTTTATACAGCCCTCCTGGGTTCTGATTGGCTGCTGCAAGGCCTCTCATGATTGGGCCCTTGCTACAGCCCTCTCCCAGTGCTCTTTTAACCCCTTTTATGCCTGGAGCAAATGGACGACCTGCTACAATCCTGCTAACGGTGGCCAGCAGTGTTCCTTGTAAGCTGAGCACTTGGACGGCCAGCCAGGAGAGAGTTAAATGCCGCCCAACTGATTAGCAGACTGCCTGCAGTGCCCACAGCCAGCAGCATGTGTTTCTACTGGTGGTGCACATCCACACATGCCTCTGCGCACATAACAATATTTATTCTGCACATGGATGAGAAAAATTAGAGGGAACATTGGTGGCCAGTATCCGTGGCTTCATAAGGTGCATGAAAGCCCCAGCGATGCAGCTAAACTGGGGAAACTTACAACCTAATCCTGAAATGAGCTGTGGCCTTAGGGTCCCAATGAGGTTCTGCAAGGGGCAGATTAACCTCTTAAAGATGGATCATTGAGTATGAACTTAGTGCCTTATTTCCCACAATACACTTTGCCTGCAGACCCCAGGAGAGGTCTTGCGGGGTCTTTGAAACCACAAGTGCCATGTAAACGGAATAGAAACCAGTGCCTGGAGTTGGCACAGTTGGTAGAAACTTAGGTCAAAGTACAAAGGATGTATATAAGCAAATGACACAAACATGTAGTGGCAAAATTAGAAAGGCAAAGGCACAAAATGAGCTCAGTCTAGCTAGAGACATAAAGAGTAACAAGAAAAAATTCTGCAAATATATTAGAAGCATGAGGAAAATCAAGGACTGGGCAGGCCCACTGCTCCATGAAGAGGGAAAAACAATAACAGAAAATGTGGACATGGCAGAGGTGTGTAAGGTTGGTGGGGATGATGTAATAGTAACTCCTGGAGAAAAAGAGGTAAGTTCAGAAGTTAAAGGAGGAAAAGAATAAGTTAAAAGTTACTTGGAAAAGTGAGATGTCTTCTAGTCACCAGGGCCTGATGAAATGCATCCTAGAATACTCAAGGAGCTGATAGAGAAGATATCGGAGCCATTAGTTATCATCTTTGAAAAGTCATGGAAGATGAGAAAGAAGCCTTGAAAAGGGCAAATCTAGTGCCCATGTAGAAAAAGGGAAATGAGTGTTACACTTTGGTTCTGTGATGTGATGGGAGCCTCGAGGGTTAAAGCCGACTACCCAGTGAAAACTACTGGATGATGGTGAAACAAATTATTTTTATTAAGTGGAATGATTTTTTTATCAAAACTAACAATTAGCAAATGGTTTTTTTAAACCAGCAATTGCCCAATGCTTTTACAGGGTAGAAAACCCTGAACTTAGCTGTACTTAACTAATTACAAACTTCTTTGATTACAATCAACTGTACCAAATCACTGTCTCTAATTTGCTTAACAAAAAAATACAAAAATAAAGACAATATAATGATAATAAAAACTCTGTCCAAAGCCAGCCCCTCTGTGGTTATTTCAGGGCAGCTGGTGGAGTTAGTCATAAATCTACTTTTACAACGTAACGAACACTTACACTTAACCTAAATACAACACTACTACACAACACAAAATTATACGATTTACACAGTGTGGTTAACAGAACTTAGATACACTTTACAGAATTACACAGTGAAATTAACACAATTTAACTATTAATTAAACCAATAACTAATACATTTAAGCAATACTTACAAATCCAGCAACGATAACAACACAAAGACACACTACAACTCGGAGCATGCTCAGGACTCGCGCACCCCATATTTGACTCGAAGGGGGGGGGGAGGCAGCCTCAGGGTGATCAATCCTTTAGCCAGGCAAAAAAAGACACGTGCCCTCACTACACGGAACCTCCGTCGAACAAAGGGGTTGAGGGTCTTTTATACCAAAATTCAATGTCTAATGCCATACTAGGGTCTGCATTTGGCAGGGTCTGACAGGCTGGTAATGAGGTAGTATGATAATACTGCCCTATAGGAGTTTTTGTGATGCATGAGTGATCCCCTCGTGGACAGGACCAGATGGGGCATGGTCAGTTTGAGACAGTTGTGCTTTATTACCTTATGTTTATTTCCCTTGCCTCAAGGACCAGTCAAGCCACGGTCAAATGAGCCTTATCTGTTAATTACAGCTGGGCACTATCTAGTCATGCTCACCTCTCTGTTTTTCAGTGCCTGTAAGTCCCAGGATGCCTGTGCCTGTGAGTCTCAGGATGCCTGTAAGGTCAAATTCCATTCACAAAAACTGCATTGTGCACTTACAAGTTATGCTTTCTCAAAGTGTGACAGAGGCCTACATTTTCTGTGAGCTGCTTTGTGCGGCTGGATGGGCTATACGCGAAGGCCGTGGACAGAAAAAGCCTGCTTTACAACAATAAGGACAGTCCAGGAAACTACAGACCAGTCACCTTAAGGTCTGTGCCAGGAAAGATAATGGAACAGATAAGTAAGGAATCCATCTGCAAACATCTAGAAGATAAGCAGGTGGTAGGTGACAGCCAGCATAGATTTCTCAAGAACAAATCATGTCAAACTGACCTGCTAGCTTTCTTTGGTAGGGATAGCAAGCCTTGTGGATAAGGGGGAAGCAGTAGACACAGAATAGAGATTGGGTGCAGACGGGAGCTTGTGGTAAGGGACTGGGGGGGGGGGCAGGAGAGAGTGTGGGGTCTGGGAGGGAGTTTGGGTGAAGGAGGCAGTTGTGAGCTGGGACTGGAGGCTGGGGTGCAGGGGATTGGGGTGCAGGAGCTGAGGGGATATGGGTGCAGGATTAGGGGGAAAGGGTTTGGGTTGTGTGGGATAGGAGTGCAGGAGCGGGGGGTCAGAGAGTTGGGATGCCAGAGGCAGGCTCTGGCCAGGAGACTTACCTGCTTGATTCCCAGCCAGCAGCCTTCTCAGGCAGACTCCCGGCCTGATGTGTCCCCATGAAGAGCTAGGAGTCTGAGGGGAAGTTCGGGAGGAGGATGCTTTGCAAGCTGCCTGTTGATACCAGGCAGCTCCTATTAGCTGGAAACTGACCAGTGGGTTTGTGCTGGGGGGCGTGGACAGTGCATGCAGCTGCTCTCCTCTCCTCTGGACTCTCAGCAGTTCAAACAGAGCCCCCCCACAGCTGCTTTTCTCAAGCTTATGGGGGCAGGAAGGGAGCCTGCCTGCCTGCCTGCCTGAGGTTTCCCAATGCATCCGGTGGCTTGGCGGGCCGGATGCAGCCCACGTTCCATATTTTGCCCAGGCCTCCCTTAGCTCAACCAAAAGCTGTAGGAGTCGCTGCACCAGGGTCTGAGGCCCGCGCTATGCAAGAGGTCAGACTAGATGATCGTAACGGCCCCTTGTGGCCTTACAATCTATGACTCTTTGAACATTTCTTTAAACTGTAACACTCTCAGGTGCTTTTAGTTGCTCAGGGGTTGGTTTTGTTTTCTGAACCGTATTTTTAACGTGACTCGTGCATGGAAAATTTATTCCCAACTTTCTGGGGCAGTTCTGTTTAGCCGCAGCGATCAACCTTCGCGTCTTCATTCTGTTCCCTTCCTTTTCAGATTGCTTGGTTTGACCATGTTTTAGGCACCTGTTTCCTGCAAGTGTATGTAACCCCTTACACACAGGGTCTATGTCTACACTAGTGGGTTGTTGCACCAGAAGTATGCAAATGAGGTTAGGTGTGGAATATTGCTGAGCCTCATTTGCATACCTAATGAGCCACCATTTTTGCAGAAGGAGGAGCTGTCTACACTGCCCCTTCTTGCACAAGAAAACCCTCTTGCGCAATGCCGTTCTTCCTGAAAATAATCAGCATAACGGCATTGCGCAAGAGAGTTTTTCTTGCGCAAGGGGCAGTGTAGACAGCTGTTTAGCAAAATATTCCAGCAACCCTGTGCTGGCCATGCCCTTTGCCAGTTGGCACAAGTGGGCTGTTAGGGTCACGGACGCTTTGCTGTTTACAATGCACTGAGTCACTGGAAAATAAAATCTCTTTCCTTGCTGCGTTTTGCCCTTTTCTCTTCTAGTGAGGGCAGAGGGGGCCAATGGCAGGAGAACGAGAAGTAAACTGGTGGAGACTAAATTAATGGGGAGCAGGTTTAAAACTAATACAAGAAAGTTCTTCACACAGCGTGTAGTCAACCTGTGGAACTCCTTGCCAGAGGAGGCGGTGAAGGCTAGGACTATAATAGAGTTTAAAGAGAAGCTAGATAATTTCATGGAGGTTAGGTCCATAAAAGGCTATTAGCCAGGGGATAAAATGGTGTCCTTGGCCTCTGTTTGTCAGAGGCTGGAGAGAGATGGCAGGAGACAAATCGCTTGATCATTGTCTTCGGTCCACCCTCTCTGGGGCACCTGGTGCTGGCCACTGTCAGCAGACAGGATACTGGGCTAGATGGCCCTTTGGTCTGACCCAGTACGGCCGTTCTTAGGTTCTTAAATAATAATCTTGCTTTTAGTTTAAACAGGCTGAATAAGCCAGCAAGAAAATCAAGTGACGAGCACATGGCTGCAGCCCCTTTCCAGGTGGTCGCCTTGACAATAAGGGACTAAACAAACAAGCTTGACTCAGCCTCTGGAAGGGAGGGGATGGTGCAGGGAGATGCTAAATCTGCAAAAACGTGACACGGGCCAGGAGCAACCCCCCTCCTTACCCCTCGCACCAGGTGCAAACGAGAGGGGCCCATGGCCTCCCAACCCTCCCCCAGTGGAGCATGAGTGTATATTGGAAGCGGTGGTCCCCGGCGAGGGGATTACAAGTACAATTGGTTTGGTAAGAAGAGGGAGCTCGGGGAGGTGTGGAGCTAGCGGTCCATAGAGGAAGGGGGTTCTAGCGGGGCAGAGGACAGGAGCTGGAGGTAGGAAAGAGCCCAACGGATGTAAAGGGCTGTGGAACACGCCTGCTTGTTCAGCCCCTATAAACCCATCTGCCTGCCTGCAGGTTGGACTCTGGACTGTTATTTTTCCAGCAAGTTGTGTCTGGAAGCAGAGAGGGGGGAGGGAGCTGGACTCCTGCCCACAGCAGGGGGCTGTGCTTGGGGAGCTGTTTGTAGGGGCGCACGCGCCCCATGGGAAGACCGGAGATCTGTTTGGGCTGTCTGCACTGGCCCTTTTGCGCAAAAGTCTTTCGGAAAAAGACTTTTGCCCGAACGGGAGCAGCATCGTATTTCCAGAAACGCATTGGCGATCTTACATGAGAGCATCAGTGCTTTTCCGGAAATTCAAGCGGCCAGTGTAAACAGCTGGCAAGTTTTTCCAGAAAAGCAGCTGATTTTCCGGAAAAACTTGCCAGTCTAGACACAGCCTGTGTGTTCACCGAATGCCGACATGTGGCAGCCATGCGTCTACAGAGGTAGGAACGCCACGAGCAGCTGTACCTCACTGACTGGCTGGTCAGAGGCAGGTCCCAGCAGGAGACCCCCAGCCACCTTTGCCTACCTCCTCTCCTTGTGAAGGAGGGGGGTGGCCCCTCACCCTTGCAGGGTTTGTCTGAGGCAGGGAGCGCCAGGCATCCCCAGCTGGTGGTGAGCCCTTAGTCCAGGTCCGGCCCCAATGGGGCACTGACTCTGCCGGGCTCAAAGCCGCATTCGGGGCTAGGCGGGCAGAAGCTGTTCACTTTGGGCATGGCCACGGTCTGTGTTGTGGCCTCGCTCCCCGCACCCCTGCAGGCTGCCTCCCTGCCTCTTTGTGCCCATTTCTGGCCACGCCAGGCTGTCCCAGAGCCTCTCTACGTGGCGCATGCAGGGCACTTTCTGCTGCTGTCACAGAGCCTCTCGCAGGACCTGCCCGGCTCAGATCCGCAATGTAAAGCCTCCTCCCGGCCTTTTGTGCAGCATGACACTAGACCTGGGAGCCAGGTTGGCTGCCAAGTTCAGGAGAGCTGGTCTTCCATCCCCGGTTGATTGACACAGCTGAAAGTCCCGCTGTCTCGGGGAGAGGGGGACGAGCCCTTGCCAGATACCTAGAGGGGGGTCCCACTGGCACAGGGACCCGCTCCCCACCCTGCCCTGCATTTAGAGACCAGGGCACCGTGGGCTGTGACCTGCAAGGGAAGTCTGTCCACCTGCCCTTTGTGGCTGCCTGTGACAGCATGTGGCACCGGGGGGAG